TATATGATAGCCCGAGAGGGTGACGTCCGCGATGCACTGACGGAAGGAGCCCAAGCCATTGGGATAGTAGCGCAAGGCCTCTTTGATGACAGCCCGCAGATACGGCATATCCTTCATATTATCCTCATCCAATACAGTATCCTTGCTAGGCATAACACGCAACAGCTCCTCGCGCAGCTTCTGCTGCTTCTCTGGATGTTTGCTCAAGCACAGCAAGAGAGCCGACAAGAACGTGGAACTGCCGTCGACACCCGCCATAAGCATGTCCAGACTCATGACAACCGCGATTTTCGGATCAATGCTCATCATTTTATCCAACATGCTGAGTTGGCCGCTCTCCTCTCCCGCCTGACGACGTCGCTCACTCTCCACGCGAGCCTCTTCTATCAAACGTTGTGCGATATCAACGCTCTCATTTTGAGCACGCATTAGCTTGCGATAGGTTGGCGTCGATACGTATTTCCATATGGAGGGCTGTATATCGAGCTTGAAAGAGAACTGGAATATCTGCCGTGATATCTTAAACAATGTCAAGATGTCTTTATTATCACGATGCTTGCGTATGATGCCCAGCTCGCGATTGAAGGCAATCAATGCAATCGATTCGAAGACCAATCGACTCATTTCCTCCTCAAAGTTGGCTGGCACTTCCAAAGTCTGTGGATCCCGTATCTCTTTGATACTATACCAAACACATATACGTAACTTACGCTTGATTATGTATTTAAACATTGTTTACTTACCGCTCAATGAACTCGTTGTTGATGTTGGACAGCGGCTGGTAGTACATTCGAAGACCCTTGGGCTGCATGAACACCGGATTCACAGCTGATCGGAATTTTCCCCAGTCCTCGTGTTGTCTGCGTGAAGAGATTGCTTGAATATTTGGGTATTCGATATGAACAAGAATCTACTACTTACGCGGATATAAGGCCCTTCCTCTCCGCAAACACGTCGGGTCGTATGTGCTCGCGAAAATAAACCAATGATTCGAAGCCCGCGCGATAGGGCCAAATGCCTTCGTTGCGAAACACCGTCTCAATATCTTTCGTATTGAAGGTGGCCACCCAATCCACGCGTCCCAATGTGCCGGGTATTATGAAGATATTGCCATAACGCTTACGCAGAACATTGGTGACCTCCATAAACGAAGTATCGTAAAACTCTCCACCTGGCATAAAGCTGCGCATAAACCTCAATTTGCCTGGCCTTGGCAACTCACTGAAGGGACGCGCCTGTGCAGCAGCGGCATCATCGGAGGGCTGTAAGTCAAATTCCATTCGTTAAATTCCAAGCAATTGTGCATACATCATTATCAATTGCAGCTCACGTTTATCGCTGTTGCCGTTTGCACTGATCTGGCGCCGACCAGTGCAACTTGTCGCGCTACAAGCGGTGCTTTCATAAGGGCCATTTGAATATATCAACTATCAACTGTTATCAACTGCGACTGTTTCTAACCAGCGCGCAGCTCAGACTAAAATTTGTTTAGCGCTTTCATCAGCTTTATAGGCGATCGTAGTAAAATGAGTAAAATCATAAAGAAACAAGATCAACAAATAACTGTAAGGCGTCGTTACTTACTCTCTTTCGCTCTCTCTCTCTCTCTCGGTCTATCTCTCTGTGTGTGTTACTCCCATTCTCTTGCTTATCAGCGAGTATGTATATAAAGCTTTAGCTCACTCTCATCAGGTATGCCTTATGCTAGGTAAATAGAACGACTGGGTTTTTTTTTTTAAGTCTTTGGCAAAGCAAAAACAAAATCTGCCTGGTCAGAATGATATAAAAATGCCATGTTTACATGAATCAGCATATTTAAACCGCTTTCTAACACACATACATATATAGTAGATCAAAATACATACAGACGTGATGGCACTTGTTTGTGATTGCACGCTGAACGATCGCTAAAATCGAATAGAATATACTATAAATCTATAAGTAAGTTTTGTTAACCAACTAATAATTGTAACTATTACCCGGCTACATATGCCTATATGCAAATATGTAAATATTGACTATGGCTGTATTCAAATATATCCATTGAGAGATTTCCACTGCGGTATTAATGCCGCAGTCGAGCTTCTGGCATTGCTTTGCCAGACCACACGAATCTTCCCCTTATGTGTATTGTCAACCATCAACTTTGATTATGCCTTAAGGTGAATGCTCTTGTTTATTTTTAGGCCATTGCTTTGGACCATGGCCATTGTGCTGGTCAGCAAGCTGCGTTACTTTCGGTCGCCACATGCAAATGCCGGAGATATGGAATTGTTAGACAGATATCACGAACAAGAAATCTCAATATTTCCCATACTCTTTTTCATTTATTATTTGCCAGTATTTATAAATGCCTCGAGGTATCGCTCGATTAGCTCAACAGGTCTTCGGGAGGAGGGGGGGCTGTTGAGGGAGCATGAAGTGTTCGCTTCATAAATCAATTTAACCTCGCACAGTCAAGAAATTGGGTGTTGCAGTCGCTTCATAAATGCATCAGCGGTGCCAATCGCAGCATAATGAACCGACGCGTCGGGTAATTTGTCTATTATGTAGCATTGTTTAGCGGCCGAGGCTCCAGCTGCCGGAGCCTATTCACACTTGTGGGCGTGCGCCGTCGAACCGGAGTTGGGGTCACAGTCGCAGCCACAGTCGCTGCACAAATGCATACAATGCCACACATGTCGCGCTTAATTAACCCCAAACAATTTCAGCTGTTTGGCTGCCTGACACCAATGCACACACTCGCACAAACACACACACACTCACACACACGCGCACATGAGTCCAGGACATAATATAATAGAGTCCTTTACACTGTTTATGCGATGAAATTCAAAGGAAACTAAGTATGTAAAGTGTTATCAAATATACGAAAATATAATTTTTTAAATATCTAATATTAAAATATAGACCACAGACCTTAAATGTTGTTAAAAATTGTAAATATGTAAATACTGGCTTCTAGCCCATAATCTAAGTTAAGGTTTAAGTCAATAATGCGCTAAATAGTCTCAGACAATAAGCTGCAATAAATGAATTTAAAAAAAAAAAAAAAAAAAAAAAAAAAAATATTAAAATAAAATTTGATTGAGAGAATCAAGGCATACTTTAGGCATTATCAAATGTAGAATATATAATCTACATCTACTTCAAGTATCGAATACCTATAACATATATGTATATACAGATTTTGTTATAGTATCTTCCACACATATACATAGAAATGTTTATGGCATAAACACATGGGTTAGTGTATTAAATTTAAATTTGAAGGCACGAGCTAGGCAGCACTCATAATTCCGATGCACGTTTCAACGGCAGCGCTGAGGGTTGAGCTGACGGCTTGTGTGTTGGGGGGGGCTGCAGCTGGGGAGCACAGTGACCCAAATTAATCTTATTCATTGGCGGCAGCAAGTGTGTGTCAGCAGCAATCCAGAGCCCGGCTGACAGCTTCGCATCCAAAAACCTTGACTTGTCTATGACCAGGCGGCGCGTCGACAAAGTGGCAAAAGTTTTGTAGCTGCCGTATGAAGAGGGAGCGAGCCTCGTTTGTCGACAGCCGACGCGAGGCGTGAAAAATTAAAGATTTGATTACATTTTCCATACTAGAAAGCAGCATTTCAATAAGATGCTTTCATATTCATACTGTTAACTCTTCACTCATTTAAATAAACACCGGCAAAAGAAAGAAAGCACGAAACAATGCTTAAAGTCCACAGTTGTGAAAAGGAAATATCACAAGACCTAATAATGAATCATAAAAAGTAGCTAACACATAATTATGGTGATTATCCAACGCCAAAGTGGGAAAGTGGGGCACAGCTGGCTAAGAAACAGCCACGCCGAGTAAATGGCGACTAAGTGGCCCGCCCGCCTGCACTAATTGTAAGTAACACGTTCACGTTTACAACTTTAAGGGAATTTCCCTCGGAGGACAAGAGACTGGCATGCAGGCAACACCAACAGCAGCAGCAGCAGCAGCAGCCAAGCAGCCAAGCAGGCAGTCAGGCATCCAGTCAACCGGCTAGACCTTGCCAGACGAGACACACAGCCATTCCAGCTTAGACATTAAAGTTTGGCCAGCCAGCTCGTTAAATAGACCAAATTCATTTGGCCAAAAGTTTAAAGTGTCGGCAACGCGCGCGCACGCCGACATTTATCAGTCATTAACACGGCCAACTACACAAAACAAAAACAACAGCGATGGGCGGGGATGGGCGGCTCCGAGGGGCTCTAGCGGGGTCTGGCCAAACAATTAAAGCTGTGTCTTGAATTTCCTAACGGGTCTTGGCAGCAGCATTAAAAATCAATAAATTTAAAACATTGTATGACAATAGAAAAAGAAATCAGCAAGAACGCAAGGCCCTGCCATAGATTCGATGCTAGAGAAAATTCTCTTCAGGGATGTTCATGTAGCGGCTGTTGTTGTTGTTGTTGTTGTTGTTGCTGAGACGTAGCACAAAATCGCCGAGCCAAACATCCTTTGTCAATACAAAATACGTACAACAAATCAAATAAAAGCACGCCAACAACAACATCAACATCAACAACAATGGCAACAACAATCCGAATGGCAACAAAGACAAAAGTCAAAAGTGCAAAAACAAAAGCAAAACGAACCGTTGCGCCCCCAAAATGCAAGCCGAGTTCCAAGCGACAGTCAGGAGAACGAGAACGTGTCCAGGATCAGCGCATGCGCCAAATTGGCGAATCTCACGAAGCGGGGAAGCCCACTTGGCTCGGTTTGTCTGTGTACATGTGGAGTTGGCCTGGCATCGGGTGGGTGGAAGGACGCATGCATGGACATGTTGTTACAAACGCCGGATAAAATGGCGCTGCCTTGCTTTGGGGGCGCACCACCCATACACACACACACACACACTCACAGAGACACACACATACACAGCGATATTTCTCCTCCATTTTGAGAAAATTTCCTGCTTCGAGCAGCAGTCGATGGCCATGTCTGGCCGAAGTGAGCAAATGATTTTTAACAAATTTCATTAACATCAGAGGTCCGTAATCATTCAAGCATCGCGTTTCGTAACTGGCCCAACAATACCTTTCCCGCTGGCCACTCTCATCCATTCGCTTCGCAGGACACTCGATGCATATTTACCTGCACTGCACCTGACGCGACTACCCATTTAGCTTTAATAAAAGCCACGTGAAAAGTGCCAATACAAAGAGTCCTATAAATTCCTAGAAAAACCATAACTATCGTATTTCTAAGCAATCATTGGTCGGCTCAGACACGGACCTGTGATTTATTTTGTGTAAATGAGCTTTTGTTGGCCGTAAATCAACAAAATGATCGACGAACAGCATCCAATGCAGATTGGCCTGTGTGAGTATTTTGCATTAACCAAAAATATTCTCGAGCGAATGCCGTCGGTGCTTTACAAATATTTTACTGTTCCGACGGGTTTTTAAATACTATTATGAGTATAATTGTTTGTTGTTGAAGTAAGCAATGCTGAAAAATCTTAATAGCAATTTGCATCCCCAGATATTTATTTGAGAATTATTAGATGAAATCATTTGTCACCTTCCAAAGTAGTTTATAATTCAGATACGCCAGAAGTACTTTATTTTCATAGATATGGAGAAAGGGTTTTAGTAAAGAATAAATAACTATTTAGATAAATTTTTGAGTAAGCATCAATCACATTAAATTGCTGTTGCTTCAACCATTGCATTGATATAACCACAATTTGTATAGCAAAAATAAATCAGTTAATTAGTAAACTATGTAAAATATTGAATTTGAAAATATATTCAGTGAGCAATATTTTAACTGAAGTTTAAGAATATGTTAAAATGTTGATTACTTAGTTGAATAAGTGTTTGAAGCTGAAAAGTCATCAGCATTGAATATCATCGAGAAGATTGTATAGGAAAGTGCTCTCACAAATTAAATGTAACCTAAAATTTTTCATTATTATTCCTCAAACTTTTACTTCTACTGTTGGTAAACTACTAACCTTTTAGTTTTACTTACTCAATCTATAATTTACAAAAACCATGAAGACAACTTGAATAAAAGAAAAATCACAATATGTATTAAATATTTGCTTAAAATAAAGTTTATAAATTTTTCATTCAGTTCCTTAGGCGAGTTGTTATACCATTGAAAACATATGCATAGATACATAGTATAGTATATAGTTAAGATATAAATATACCTGATGGAATTCATATACATATATATATATATTTGTTTTGGTTTTGTCCAATAGTTCGAGTGTTCGAGTACGAGCTGTGCGAAAACTAAGAACCACTTGCACAACTTGGCACTTGAGCTAAGTGTGCTTAAGTCAAGCTGGCAGCGAGCCAAATGCCAAAAATCTGGACACATTTTATAGTGGGCAAAACAAATGCTGACTTCTGTCAGAGATTAGGCAAAAACAAAGCATTTATGTTGTGTATCGTTGGCACAACAGCAGCAGCAACAACAACACGCAGCAGCAACAACAATGCAAAACGGCGCCATAATTTCTTTGTCCGCCCAAATCCGATTAAATTAAACGCCAGTCGCCGGCAACAACTCGGCAGCGACTGACAAACGGCGGCAGCGGCTGCACACAGTATCCTGGCAAGGGTTTCCGCTCGCCCGCTGCTGCCGAAGACTGCCAACATATGCCGCCAGCAGCCGTAACCGACATAATATATCCAAGCCCCTGCCTCTGCCTCAGCCACTGCCTCGGCCCGTCTCACCCCTTGACAGACATGGGGTGAGCTGTGGCGAGGCTGGGCCGGCTAGGGGTTGAATCTCTAGCTACTGATTCATTGCAATGACTCGTTTAGAAAGCGCACGCACTACTCGTAAATTCTATTATAATTTAGTTATAAGCAGCGCGAAACTCGCCCTGCAGGGTGGGTGCCCGCTGCCGCCCCCCTGATTTCTGCTGCACATTAGAATCTAATTAGTGTGGCGAAAGGGCAAAGCCAGCGCTATCAATGTCGCCTCCGCCTTTGCACTTGTCCGCGCAAATCCGCTGCTGCCAAGCGCTGACATGTCCAGCCAACATGCTGACATCCTGATAAGCCTTGCGGCAGCCAAAGGACACAGCACAAAAGACAAAAGTCTAACAGGTGCGCCAGCTGAGCGGCTTAGCACTGCTGCAATTCAAAGTAGCTCACACTGAATGAGGTGTCCGAGGTTAAATGTATCAAGCAGGGGAAACGAAGCGACCTATGAAAGCATGCGGCAGCAGTTGCTCGTGACAATTGATGTGAAATGCGAACCATATGTTTATGTTTATAGAAATAAGCCTATTCACTTAGTTATCCTTGTGCACGAATCTTTAGGCAAGCTCAGAGAGAGAGATGAGCTAGGGTCATTCACTGCGTGATGTCCAAGCTGTAGGCAAGACGAGCGGAGACAGCCGAATCTATAAATGAGATTGATGGATTGATAAACGAGTATAGTAAAAGAGGCTTAGTAAAAGATTATATTTTAGAATTCATATATACATCTATTTTGGGCAGTACCTTGAGATTTCAGCTCTTGCTGTCCCTTTGTCTTTGACTTTCAAATATTTAATAAATTACAAGCCCTATTATTAAATATACATAAAATGCAATAGCCAACCCACTTGTCATCTGTCCAAGAAGTGGGCAGTCGAGTGGTTTGATTTGAAGTGTCATTTGTGGCTGCATTTTAGTCTGCACATGACACGAATTGTATTTCTTACACGTGAGACCGCAATGCAAATTGATAACGTAAATTACTTTAAAATGCTGCACATATTTCTAGCATAAATTTTGCATGCCACAGAAATTGTTGTGAAAATTTAATGAAATTACGCACAGGCCAAATCATTTAAATGCAAAATGTATGTAAAGTCAGGCAGAGCTCGTAAGAGTATGTGTGTGTGTGTGTGTACTTGCACACATACTCGTACATATTAAGTTAATACAAAAAAAAGGAAAAATGAGAAAACCTATGGATAAGGGCAAAACAATAACAACTGAAAAAGCGCGTAACGAAACAAGATAAACGGCACTCACGCACACACTCACACACACGCACACTAAGAGGCAAACAAATTACCGTACAATTTCAACAATTTGCCATAAATTGAGACAACAAGCAACAAAAAGCCAGCCAGCCAGCCAACAGCAGTAGCACAAATGCCACAAATGTACAGTAATTTTTTGCCACCAACTCGAATAACCGCACTCGCACAAATACAACAGAGCCCAACAGCACAATACGTATACGCAGCGTATTGCCAGCGTACATACATATATAAATATATATGTGCGTGGAATTTGCAGTACGGCCAAACACAGGCGAAGAGAGAGGGAGGGAGGGAGGGAGGGAGAGACGAGTGCGTACGGTCACGCACATATTTCGCTACAAAAGTCATTTCAATAATTGCAAAACCACAAATTTACTACAACTCGAAATGGTTGGCAAATGGTCACAGTTACAGCTACAGCTACAGTTACAGTTACAGTTACACTCACACCGTATAGAGTGGGCAAAAGTGCAGGGAACCACAAATGCAAATCCCGTTTGGGACATAGTTTTTGCCACGAACCACTGAACCACTGGCCGCAGTTGTAAATTGTGAGGAGGGCACACGACCAGCCGCAATTTGCATGCCGATGTGAAAATAAAAATAACTGAAATGTTTCTCATTTGCATGTTTGGGCCCTGGATCCACGACACAACCGCAAAAACCAAAATAGTTCCAATGGACATCAAATGTCAACAGCAACAGCAACAGCAGCAGCAGCAGCAACACAACCATCACCAACAGCAGCAACATTTATCGGGAGCTGGACACACGCAGCACCCGGCCGCAGCAGGCATTGCAATGGGGCACAGTCAACTGCTGTTGCACGGAAATGAGCGCATGTTAACAACACCAGCAACAGCAACAACAACAATAGCAACAGCAGCAGCAGCAGCATCGGCTGCAACAACAGCAACAACTGCGACCTGTCAGCCGGCAGGCAGCAAGACAGCAGCAGGAGGAGCCACCAGCTCCCACAATGACAAAATGGCGTCAGCTAGCCGAAATGTCAACGGAAGTTGTATCAACCACAGTAGCAGCATGTCCACCGCACACCAACAACAGCAACAGCAACAGCAACAGCAACAGCAACATCAGGCTCTGCCGTTGACAATGAGTAGACAGGGTCCCGGGCCGGGTCCACCCATGCAGCTGAGCAACCGCATCACCTTGGGCGAGTGCAGTCTCAATGACTTGGATGGCTTTTCAGCAGCACCACCGGCGCCGCCGACATCATCAATCGCACCACACACACCACAAGCGCCTCAAATACTGCAGCAGCACACGGTGATGGGCATGGCCATGTCCGGAGATGGGGGCATGGGCATGGGCATGGCCATTAGCATGGGTCCAGGACTCAACCAATGCACCTACTGCTGCCAGCCAATTTGTGATCGTTACATCATGCGCGTGGTGGACAACTCGTTTCACGAGGGCTGCCTCAAGTGCTCCGCCTGTTCGCTGCATCTGGTGCACTCGTGCTATGCGAGGGACGGCAAGCTGTATTGCCGCATTGACTACGAAAGGTGGGCGTGGACGGCGGCTCAATATGGTTGTCCAGCAACTCAATGATACTCCTATTTCCACAGACTCTACTTACGTAATCGTTGCCTTGGCTGCGGCCATAAAATTGCCGCCGATGAGCTTGTGATGCGCTCGCAGGAGAATATCTTCCATCTGAAGTGCTTCGCCTGCGTCGTATGCGGTGCAGTGCTGAAGAAGGGCGAGCAGTATGTGGTGAAACAGGGACAGCTATTCTGCCGCTTTGACTACGAGAAGGAGGTGGAGATGCTGCAGGGCTATGGTGAGTCATTAAATGCATCACCCAGTTGCCACAGCTGTCTAATATCATACTGTCCTAGATTATTATGGCGATGACCTGTTTCCACCTAAGATGGACGGTCGTCGAGGTCCGAAGCGACCGCGTACCATACTCAATACACAGCAGCGGCGCGCCTTCAAGGCATCCTTTGAAGTGTCGCCCAAGCCGTGCCGCAAAGTTAGAGAGAACCTGGCCAAGGATACGGGCTTAAGTCTGCGAATTGTACAGGTAACGCGAATGCTTATCAATATCTGATTTAATTCATGCCATTCTAATTTGCATTGTTCGCTCAGGTCTGGTTTCAAAATCAACGCGCCAAAGTTAAGAAAATACAGAAAAAGGCCAAGCAGGAGCCGCCCGCGAAGGGTGTCAGCGACTCGCACTCGCAGGACTCGCAGGAGTCGCATGACAGCAGTCTGACAGCCAAAATCAAGGACGAAGCGCAAAGTGATAGCGAGTCGCAACAAGAGTCGCCATTCTCCACAACCTCGGACGGACTGACAAGGCTGCGCTGCAACATCAAGGACGAACAGGAGCAGGGCACTCTAAGCTGCATGGAGACCAACAAGGGTAAGTGCCAAAGAGGAAACAAAAAATAAAGAGTTACAACAAAGGTCAGCTAAACATATTCTGTGACAATCAATAGAGAACTGCAACAAGAACAGCGAACCGATACTGAACACCATACTTGGCCTGAGCTACGCCACCTTTCAGCAGCTGATGGGTCCTTTCACACAGACGCCAATGATCAATCCGATTGATCGGCTCTACAGCATGCAGAGCTCCTATTTCCGGCCCGACGAGCTGGGTGCCTACGGAGAATGCGGTGGAGGTGGCGGCGGCGGAGGGGGCGGCGCCAAGGAGCCCATGGATCACTAATCTCGCCTGCAAATGAAAACGTTTTAAGCCAAAATCAAAATTAGTACTTGTAAAATAAACAAAATGTTAATGTGCCAGAAACTCGATTTAGATAGCGTGGCGAAGCCGTTCCCGAAATGCAGCAGCACGTGCAGCACCCTGCATCCAGCATCCAGCAGCCAGCATCACCGGTCCAACTCGATGCAACCACCCAGCGCAAGGTTGCCAGATTTCGGGTTGTCCTGCAGGTGCAGCCTCGACATTCGTTCCACTCAGTTGACAAGAACAAAGCGCTTAACACAACAGCAGCCACAGCCACAGCCACCCCGAGCTGGGCATATTGCCCGAAATGGGCGTAAAATACCGATTCGTCATGCATTGTTCGCCCGAGCCCTCGATGCGCGCCCGACCCTGTTGTCAGCGCCGAGCTGTCAGTGTCGCTGTCGCTAACTTAAACCGACCCCCATCGGCAGGCAGTTCACCCGATGGCTGACATCGGGGGCGGCTATGCTATCCGTGGCACGCAGAGGCCACAGCTATCTATTGGCATGCGAAGTGTCCAAGGGGGCGGAGCCAGAGCGGCGCAGAGACCATCGAACAGTGCACTTAGGATCAATGATATTGAATGAAAAATGAAAAGCTTTTATTTTTGTAAATGAATGAAAATTGTAGATTATAGCTAGAGCATAGATAGTTCTTGAATTAATACAAAGTTGAATTGGGTTTAGTACTCATAGAATAGTATGTTATATAAGATTAACCTATTCAAGCCTTTAGTTAGTATTCACAGTTCTATACAGAATAATTATGCTAATGTAAAGGGATTATGGAAAAAGGTTTATCTACGCAGACCTGATCGAGAACTCTTAAGCAGCGGTACACGTGTTTACACAGTCAAATGTGTGCCCCATCCTGTGCCCCACTCCACTCCACTCGCCCAGCATCCGCATGCAATTTGTCACAATATGTGTCACATTAGCCACAGCAATTGTGCTTAAATGCTGTCGTCGTTCTATGCCCTTACTCGGTCGTCGCGTCGTCATTTGTGCCGCTAACCAGATTATACCCCAATTGCGACACCGCGGCTCGGAGCAGGGAGAGGCAGGCTGATGCTGCAAGAGTAGTTAAACAAAGGGAAAGGCCGCACCACCAACAACTCCAGCTCATGGCCAGAGCATTAACCACCGTTGAATCTTCAGAGCAGCAATGCAGCCCTCTACACGCACACACACACACACATACACACATAGGTAATTTCTTTTACACGCTTTTAAAACGCACATCAGCGAGAAGTGAAACTTCTCCTCAGGCGAGCCCACATCGTTAATCAAATGCTGAAAGGAGCAGCGAGCAGCAAAACAAGTGCATGAACCACTGTGCAGTCGCAGAGAGCAGAGTGAAAAAAGAATGGCAAAGGGACGCCAATGCAAATGACTGGCAAATGTGTCTTGGGCATTAAGTCCTTCTGCCCATGTCCTGTCACTGAACTCACTTGTATTCCACTATAAATAATCGAGTGGCATTTGCACATGCTGCGAAAGAGTTGACCGCGTCGTTTCGAGCATCTTGTCGCGCTTTCAAATGGACAAATTACGTAATTAATTACCGCCATATCGAGGAGCAACGGACGCATTTTAATGGTCCTTCAGCCACTGTCTGGCCACAGAGCAAAGTGAAAAGGGCATTGCATATGTAAATATCACAAAAAGGTAAATTGTGTAAACAACTACGAGACACGAAACGCAAATCAACACTGAAATATATGCTGAAATGAAAAATATAAAAAATTAAAATAAAATAAAATAAATATTTAGTTTTATTTTTACAAACATAAAATGCAGGTAAATACAAATTTAATATGCATTTGTAAACCTAGAGGCAAGTCGCTTAACTGCACATTATGCAAATCGAACTGCCACAAAGCACACTCAAAACGTATAAAAAACGATGGCTCTTTGATTTTTATGGACAAGTCAACAAAGTAAAGGCTTTCAAAAGCCAATCAGCAATTGAAAATGGTTGACAAAAACTCCCTTTTCATACACTTTCATGGTCATAATACGCTTTTTGTTGAGCGTCTGCTCATGCTGTTATGGCTTTAATAAAATCAAAAGCCAATTGTGTATTGCCAATAAAAACAACAAAGTGAGAGGGAGAGCGGGATGCGATGCAGAGCGAGGGAGAGCGAGGGGTCGAGTAATGCACATAAAAGAGCATGGAAAACGTGTACGCATTTGTTGTACAAACAAATCACAGGCTGTCAAATGTCTCTTGTTTTATTATTATTTTTAGCTCGAGAATCGGCTACGAAAATTGTGCAAAAATATATGAAAAATTATGAAAACATATTGCAGCCTGGGAAAAATATGACTAGCTGGAAAATGACCAGCCATTGAGACTGACCAAAGTGCTCATATCTTAAATAAATAAAGTTGGGAGCTGAGAGAAGTGGTAGTTACTCTGGTATGGAATTGGTGTAGATGCATAAATAAATATATCATATTTTGATTTAAAATAGCTCTAGTATCAAAGTAAAATGGCTAAGAAATTAATTTTGTTTGATAAAACTTTTTGCTTAGCTAGCTTAAAATCTTTATGAAACTCAGGCTTGAGCTAGTAGAAATATATATTTATATATTAAAAAAAAATTAATTAAAATTAATGAATGTTCTATTCTAAAGAGCCCTACCTATCGCGTATATCAACTTAAATACCAGATCTAAATCTAGGACTTTATTTTCTTTATACATAAACTAATTATATTTGATCATGTATGACAGACTGTCAGTTAGTCAGTTCGTAGAGTTTGTTAGAGCGAAACTTCTACAACAATTATGTACTTGATAGAGAAACATATTGCGTAAACTGTTTGCATGAGCCCGGCTGCGTGACAAAGTTTAAAGTTTGCGCTCATAATTATGTTAATCGAAGTCCGTAACATGAACTGCGTCCGGTTGCTGAGTTGTCGCCGGGCCTACGGCTTGGCAGGCAGCAATCATAAGGCGCAGATGTCACCCGTCAATGTCGATGGCCGGACGACAGGTTCTGGCTGCACAGTTTGCCGACGCAATCTAAATGCAAATGGTTGGCTCAAAGGACCGTTTCTGTGCCCAAAAGGAGCCACAAAAACCATAACCAAGAATCTGGCGCATAATGCAGCCGGCAAACGGGGCGGTAAATGAGTGGCCCAACTCATTTGATGTGTGCGTGTGTGTGTGTAAGTGTACTCGCTTTAGTGTTTGTGGTGGCACATAAGTAAGTACAAAGGAGCATTTCGACTGCGACGTCTGTTTCAGTTCCATTTCGACATTTGGCACAAAATTCATAAATGCTAATTTCAACACATTGTGCATACGTTACAAATATGAATATTTACCATAACTAGGCACGCACAGGCACAGACACAGGCACAGGCACAGGCACATGCACAGCCAACACTTCGATTGCCTGCCTGCCCCCCGCCTGCCTGCCTGCCTTCGAGGCTGGCAACAGCCGCAATGGCAGCCATAGACGCAGCCGTTGCCAGAATGCCAGCCACCCAATAGCCTCGCCTGCCCCGCCTACTCCGCCTGCCTTGCGAGCTAGTCATCTTTATCGACAAAAGGTTTGCCATGGTTTTAGCTTTTAGCTGGGCTTGAGTTCGTTTCTGGTTTAATAAAAGCCTTTTGCAAAATGAAGCAATTGTGTGTGTGTGTGTCAGTTTTCGAGCGCAGGCTGACGCTGGCTGGCTGGCTGGCTGGCTGGCTGGCTGCCTGGCTGGCCTCAAATGTATCTCGCAGCTACATTTGTAGCTCACTTGTCTGCCAACTGTGTGGGCTTGGCAAATATGCGTCAAATCACACAGACGCACTGTTTTTGAATACCAAATGGAGACTACAATCGAACGAACACACACACACGCCCACTGAAACTAGTCAGTGCGTAGCAGGCATAGTCTATATTTGTCTACTTGATGCCTTAGATTGAGATTGGTTTTGCGCCTGGACGGTGTAATTGGTTGCAAGTGCCGAGCCACTTGTCTACCAACATGTTCTCTCTCTGTCTCTCACTCTCTCTCCCTCACTTTGTCATAAATGAAAATTTTTCAATTGATAGCCAAGCACTGGCCGGGCCAACATTATTAGTTTAAACTGGGCCTAATCGAAACAACTAATGAGTTTCCAATAGGCGTTAAAGTGGCCAATAAGTGCACTAATGAGAAAAAGCGTTTCTTAAGCACTGCCATATCCCACAACACCCACGCCAGCAGCTGGCTAACAATACCCAGGCCAACCCTGAACGAGCCCCAACCCTTAGCTATCCCCGCTCCCCCAGTTGCCAGCAGATAATTTGAATTGCAAAATCTTTTGAAATTTGTGGCAACAACTTACACTCACGATTTGTCTGAGGGGGTGTCGAATCTGGCATCAGGCTGAAACCAGTTAACATGACAGACATCAAAGAGGCGTAGTTCACGAAAATGAAAGTATCTGTGGCCACAGTTCACTGCAGATTGACTTTTGCGCCTGCCCTGCCCTGCCCTGCCCTGCCCTGCCCTGGCCTGGCCTGGTCGGGTCAGAAGCCAAATGCAAATGAGGCAACATCATGTTTCTAAAGGGGGCGTAACGCCTGCAAATATGCAAATGCTGTCTATAAATATTTAAAGTAAAATGTTGCAGCACATTTCGAAATTTCGTATCTCGAAAAAGAACGAAAAGGAAACCTAAATACAAAAATACTAAATGCATTACATATTTGTGTGTGTATGTAAGAGGAATGTTTTTCATTATGCTGCCAATAACAGCAACAAATTTGGCACGCACATACATACATATGTATATACGTGGAAGTATATGTATGCAAGCGAGCTAACTCGCGTGCATGTATTAAAAATATCTTGTAGATACTTTTGAGCCAGAACCAACAGCAGCAGCAGCAGCAGCTGCCCCGCTGACTACGACGAGCTTTAGTAGCTCCAAGCAGTAATAGAAATTGGCTTTAGTAGGACGATGGAATAAAAAAAAAAAAAATAAGATGTTGGCTGTCCAACTGCTGTCGCCTTTCCCGCTGCCGTTGCCGTCGCCGTTGCTGTTGTTGGTGTGCTGCAAAAAATGTTTTTATTACATTTCGCGCTCGCGTATTTTGCGCTACTCACGAAATACTTGATGCCAACACAGCCGCAGCAACAAAGGCAGCGCTGAAAGCCAACTCAAAATAAATATCAAGCACTCGCAGCGGGTCGAAAGAGTGAGGTATAATTCCATGCGCAGCTCAAGCCCCCGCAGCCCTCCCCCTCCCCCACCGCCACTCGGCACGGTCGCCATCGTCCTGCACTTGCTTCTGAGCCTTGCCAAGACGGCGCCGGCAGTCACACTCGCACTCAAAGCCGCGCGCATCAAAGAGTATTCACAAGTGGTCCTTTGCGCTTTACTGATTTCGCAAAGGCTAAAGGATATTTAGCAAGTCCTTCTTGCTTGTTTTTTTCTCCTTCGTTTCTGTGTCTCCTTTGCCTTCTGCAGATACTGCGCTGCCACTAAAGGAGTTGTCTTGGAAACTTTTCTGCGAGCTATTCAAGTCGAGCTGCTCAAGTTATTGTTGTGCCCAACAGCGCGGCGGGCGAAAAGAAAAACCCCATCAAAATCTACGCGGAAAAATTAAAAATAGGAAATTGAGAAGCGAGCGGAAAAAAATTGGAATTAAACGAAACCAGATACTTGGAAATGCCTGCCTCGGCTTCTCTTTGAGTAGCTGGCAAAGCGTCTGAGCTCACAGCTAATAAAATGCCAATTTTGTATGCGTAAGATGTCGAAGGAATGAATGAAGGTACAAAGCACAGTTTATTGTTTATTGAGCATACTATATGCATGTAAAACAATAAACAAAGAATCCGAAGACATCGGACTCTATGTATAAAGGCAAATGAGAGAGTAAGTGGCTGACTGTTTTAAATTTCTCTGACTGAGTTTGCCACTTTAAGCTTGATTCATTCCTTTTCTATTATTTATTAAATTTCCTATAATATATATATATAATAATTTCCTATATGCGAACATCCAAGTAGACCTTAACTCCTCTACAGATGCAATCTCGATCAGTTTGGCAGCTCATAGGCCATCCCTTACAGTCTGTTGCTTTTCGGCACCTTTATTTTACAGTCTGCTACTTGACAGTCTGTTACTATACAGTCTGCTCCTTTACTGTCTGTTACTTTACAGTCTGAGCCTTTATAGTCTGCCCGCTTACAGTCTGATCATATGCAGTCTACTCCTTTATAGTCGGCTGGAAGCCTGCGTCAAAACCTTTACCATCCTCGCTTACTCCTATGCCTCCTTGGTCGATTTCAGCCGTCTTGAAGATATGCAATTCGGAATTGCAATCAAGCGTAAAGAAAACAATATTTGGTTAGCAAACAGTCGTGGAATCTCTAAAAAAAAAAATATTATAAAAAAACAGGTACGCATTTAATCAAATATTTGCCGTGCGCTTGCCTTTGTCTCTCTCGCTCTCCCACTCTCTCCCTATCCCACTGTCTCTGCCACTCTCGCGATATCAGCATGAGTTTGTGCGTTTTTTATGCATGCAGATTATGTTTTCATTAAATTATGGTAGCTATGGTTACTTTTATACAATCCAAAGCTACTTCAAACGCGAAAGCGCACGACCCCCATCGCCCAGCCCAGTAGCCCCTCCCACCCAGCTGCCCCCCCACAGAGCGCCCACTCCAAAGCGAAGCAAAAAAAAAAAAAACGCAAAGGAAAAGAATGCGC